CCGAGCATGTTGTCCACATTTAAAGCTGGGGGGTCGTCACCTGCGCACGCGCGGGAATTGAGTACCAAACGGCGATAACAACACACGCTAAAAACGCGAAGGCTCATGGGTAGACGCTTGTTTGTAAACAATGACACGCTATGGCCATCTGACACATGCACTGGGACGACTCCCCCGCTTTATTATACTAGTAGACACTACTCAGATATGGAAATACCAAGTATTTGTTCATTTTTCATTAAATTGAGCTTCTGGCTAATATCTATTTTATTATTTTATTAAATGTGCCCACAATTGTGGTCAGTATGTTATACACGCACTTTGCATTCGACCTTGTGCCTTTACAAGATGTTGATCACAATGACTAACAGACTCTAACTCATGTCACGTGACTACCTATAATTATCAAAACTGTACAAATATTGTTTATCGACTAATATCTACTTAGCATGTTTAGCCTAATTGACCGGTTACGTAACTTTTTTATGTACAATAGTGGATTTATCGTTGAACATACTTGTTGGTAGCCGGTCAATTAGTTGCCCTACCACCACGTCAAGGTACATGCTATCGGCAGGGTGACCCGGCTGAACAGATCAGATGTAACGCTGATCTGCTCAGCCAGGTGGTGAGTGTGCGAAGTCCGAGCCGTCTTTTCTCTGCTTCCTTTGGTCGTTGTTCTTTTTCTTGTTAAGCCTCTCATTCTTCGCCGTGATCTATGGACAGCGCATAGGTTTTCGTTTCTATACTTCGCATAGGCTGTAGGAGATTTTTTTTCGTTTTGTTTTTCGTTTTTTTCGTTTTTTTTGTGTATCTTTTTTCAATGTTTTGCTTTTTTTGTGTTTTATAATTATTAATTTTTTTTTGGCTTTTTTCTTTTTCTATTTTTTTTTATATTTCATTTTCTAGATTTTTTTTGTATTTTTGTCTTTTTTTTTGTTTTTTTTTGTTTTGTTTTTAAATGTTTACACCCATATGACGAAAAGATAGACATTTGATTTAAAAGGCAAAACTAAAAAAAAGTAAGGAGAACATTGTTATAAAGCATATTCGAGAATTCACACTTAGATAGATTAGTCCATTTGGCTCAGATGAGGAGATGGTTCATAGTAGTTCTGCAAGAAAAAAAAGAAAAAAACACGTTTAAAGTATCAAATGTCAAACTCGAGCAATCTTCTGTGATGGTTGTTGTATGTTCGATTGTTTTATATTAAACGAATGAATTTTGAGTATGTGTTATGATGGCGCTTTTAATGGTTGTAAATGAACATGATGACCATGCGTCGTACGTTAGGACCACTGTACTGCAATACACAGAACACATTTGAGCAGTTAACAAGAAGTAACGGTCATATCTCGCCGTAATCTGCAACCATTACACATAACCAACAGTTTTACATCTTCTTCGACAGAATGTAGTTCTCCTCCCGCCCAGAAAGTAGGTGAAGGGTACTACTTTTTACATATGAGTGATATGTCGCTCGCGAAACTTGAGTTTCATAGAGGTACATACATGTGTAAATCGAATAACGTTTATGTATTTCACTACTAACAAACAGTAGTCAGGCAAACGACCTAGACCATAAATTTGATATTTTCAAATTGTTCACTTCTCATATGTATATTCTGAGCTAGGAATTTTAGTGCGAATTATTTTTTAATACAAATTTGACACTGGTCTGCTCTCGTCTCTTGATATCCTCAGACGTGCGCCTTTAACAATCTTCTCACATGTGTTCAAATAAATCAAATACAATTCTATATGCTAACAAAACAACGATTGCGACACTCACCATTCCGTTTTGCCAACGTGCCGTCCTTCACACACTCACCTGTGGTACAGCGGGAGCTGTAGTTATTTATATAGGTTGTGATGCAACAGCGCATGCTCAGACATGAACAATACGGAACAAATGAACGAAATACGTATATGTTCAAAGGTTGGTACGGCAGTTGTACGATCACGTCACCTTAGAATTCTATGGTCATACAAAGGGGTGGCAAATAACTGCATATAAATCATAGTGACCTTCCCAAACTGGGTCGCAGCTCGTGAAGGACGAGTACACAATGTTCATGAGAGTCATTTTTTCGGCGAATTACGTTGTCACAAAACATAGCCAAGCGTAAAGTAGGAACAGTTCACTGACTGTCTCACACTAAATATACAACGGTGTTACTGACAGCCTTACAATGCACCCTTGTTCCACAATAATAATTATTTTATCTATAACAGTGTATCCCTGATTATGCTGCTGTGTTTTTGATCAAATGTAACGTTTATTTCTTTTCTATTTCTCAACTCAGCTCATCCAAAATAAAAAAGAAATATTCCCTTAAGGCCACGCCTCTGGCCCTAACCCTAGCCATCTCGTGTTATTCAGACATGCATATGCAATTATATTAGAGGCGCTGGAAGGTAAGGGGTAGGGCCTTTAGGAACTCGTACTCCTTTGTTACAGTAACATGGACCCGAAAAGTTAGTAAGTCACGTACATGGTTACCATACAAAAAGATAAAACACATAATCAACACATTTAAAAGGAATTATAGTGTATACAATACAGCAAGTATGCACTATGTGTAACACTAAATATATCCTATTTACACCAATCTGTGTAATGGTTTTTATAAAGGTCACCTGTTTATAATAGTGCATGAGCGGTGACTCCTAATGCGAGCAATATCCCATAAGCTCCTGTTTTTAATTGTGAACAGAGGCCAATCTTTTGGCACTGGATTTGGTCACATGTTCCATTGTATTAACGTCAATATAATAAAAGAGGATTATATATTAAGTGGATTGATAAAATCTCATTTATTAGCAAGAGCAAGGATTGGTCTTTCAGTTATTGTTAACAGATCGGCAAGGTACCTTAGTTTACTCGCATCATTGTCGAGAATATTCAATTTTCAATTTTGACAAATAAATCCAGATCCTCAAACTACACTACCAGAATCACCACGCACTAGTCCGAATCCGTCAGAACTCATTCTTTCTTTCTATTTTTGCAAGAGCAGGAATGGTAATCGTTTCCGTCACAACACGTTAAGATATATTATCGGAAAAGTGGAGAAGGAAACTTCAAAATATGATTTGGTGTAAGGGTTCCATGCCATCTGGCGACAATGCATACAAGACATCTCATTATGTGACTCAAATACACAAGACATCTATATTTTATTTCTAAATGTAAATTTCTAAATTTTTCCATATTACGTTTAGCATGACTGGGAACTCAAACGAATAAAGAATGACACGTTCTGTCAAATCTAGGAGTTACCATCGTGAACATGCCCCAGGGGAATAACTTGAAATTGTCATCGAGTTTACCTTGTTTTTATATTGTTCGCGGATAGTTTCAAGTGGGGCTTGGGAATCCAAAATATCTAGCACAGATACAATTGTGTTGGTTTATTTTATGTTGCGTAGGTAGGGAGTTACACCCGAAAACGAATGTGTAAACAAAAGACACATTTTTCGATGTCATGTTACACTAAATAAAACTTTAAATGTTAGTCAGTTTATTCATGAAAAATAACAACATGAAGATATTTGATATGTTCTGATATAGATTTTGGCGTCATAAATGGTTTCATCCCAAACGTGTTACGTATTATAGGAATAACCGTGGCATTGAATATCCCATAGTTGAAGTACACAGGTATGTACCGCTGTTTTGACCCCATTTTCACGGTCATGCAGAACTAGTTGACCCCAATTTTAATATTTCCGGCCATTTTAGCAAAATTAAGAATTTTCTTTAGCGAGAAACGCTAATTTTTTAGCCATAAAGCAGCCCCAACGTCGATCTTTATGCGTCTACTCTACTTTCAACTGGCCACGGAGCACTCCCACCTCAAATCCAGGTGAGAACCACCCCCGGTCCAATTACTAGTGTCTGGTATCAAGTCATTCAACGCGTCGACACTAGCAACATATTTATGGTGCAAATGGCCATGGAAAGGATTGGAGAAATAACCGCAGCAACATTTAATCAAAGTGACCTTCCCAAACTGGGTCACATAGCTCATTGGACGAGTACACGATGCCAGTGAGTCAGTTTATTTCGGCGAAATACGTTGTCACAAACATAACCGAACGTAAAGAGGAAATATTTCACTGACTGTCTCATACTAAATATATAATGATGTTACTGACAGCAAAGTTCAGTCTGGCAGTGCAGCCTTGTTCCATAATAATAAGTACTTTATCTATCTATCTATCTATCACAGTGAATATGCTGCTGTGGTTTTGAATAAATGTGACGTAGAAGATAAACTGTGTCCCACACTTAATGGACAATGGCGATATTGATAGCATATCAGAAACCTCGTTCCATAATTATAAAACAGTTAACTAATTCACCTGACACTGACTTAATCAGTGGCAGCGGCACGGGG